TCACTGACTATAAAAATCATTTGGACTGCAGTATGCACGTGTACAGATGCAGCGAAATGACCATGGATACATTGTGCAAACCCATGTTTCTGACTTCTCTGTTCAACATTTGATTTATTCCTTTTGTGAATATTTCATATAAATATAAATATAAATCGGTTATGTGGCCACTGTATTCCGGGAATATATGTTTTTAGCCAAGTACAACACACACACACATACTCCCTGTACACCCCAGCAAAAGGAGTGCTCATTTTAGAATAAATAATATCACGCGTCCAATGACTTTACTTCGTGGGTTAGTAGATCTACCACCACAGATGTTACAAAGTCGAATGATCAAAACATTTAGGAGCTTTGTATTGACTGTTGCATCGAATGGATAAGTCCAAATTTCGATTAAGTGTACACAAATGTAGCTCTTCCTCCCCCCCAGTTGAACTGCATTATCAACTTTCAACGTTATATACAAAATCTGTGATATGCGGTAAAGTTTGGGGCGCGCGCGTGTGTGGGTGTCCAAATTATGAAAATTGAACGTACCGAGACGAATTTTGACCACCGATTTGGAGTATCTAATGAAGATGAGGAAACAAATATTCTCAATGAGATACGATATTCCTTGAGCCACCGCGATAGAGCTGAAACGCGGAACGGAGGGCAAAGTGTGTCAACAGGAGAGGGAGGTCAAATAATGTTAGAACGTGAGCGATGGAGGGGAACAAACAGGGTGTTGAAATACAACATGAACAAGTGGTTCTAGAAGAGCAATCATTTACCGACTTGCCGAAACAGATTGAAACACTGCCTTATTTTGTGTAATAATCAAAGCAAATACAGTCGGGTACATAGAACCGCTCATTTTAGACTATATTATCTAATAAGGTCACACTTTCGGCATCTGGGGTATATTTGTTACACGGAGACGAAGTAGCGTTTTCGGTAAACTTACCTAAAGAACTGTCTCGAACTGTGTTCCAAACCCCAGAATTGTAACGAAGACATTTCAATTGCGTAATGTAGTTTACAGCATGCCGATATAGTTCATGATAAAGCGTAATTCACCGAGATCGGTCGGTGATGTTTTGCACCAAACCATATGTGCAGCGATATTCGATTCCCACTGTACGTCACTCAATCAGGCTTAACAAAAAGGATGCCGTATCCATAAGATATCAAACTGCTATAATCAATAGTACCACGATCTTAATCGGAGAAGGTGTTATTCCTAACAGGGTGGCTTGGAGCACTTCACACGTTTGGCTTGGAAGAACGCGCTAGAAAGTGTTTTCTACCACGACCACAAACTAAAACCCTGTACACACAATTCAGTTTTGTTGGCTGGGCCCAGTCTGCCGGGTCTAGCTCATTGACCGAGGAAAAGATTCGATGCGAGATCTCACAAACACAATGACCAGCACGAATGCGTTTTGACAAGCTAGATACAATTGGAGCTAGTTACCCGTGCTTTTACGCATACTGTTTACGCAGAATGCCAATAAACGCAGTTTCCCGGATTTACAGTTCCTGTTTACCCTTCTTTCTCTCCAGATGATGAATTCATTCTACGCCTGAGTGAAATTTAGCGCTAGTCTACAGGAAACTTCCGTTGGTTCCACTAAATTGTACAGTGTAAACTTAGTCCTTAGTTATCTCTAACACCCTATACCTAATTGAAATTGAACACTTTCACCGTTTTCTGAAAAGAACAAGGTTAAACTAATTTTCAAAAACAAATTATAGAAAATATTTGTCTGCAATTAATATCCGTATAGTTCACGAAATCACTTAGACCAAAATCCATTACCGGTGCCGAAATTATCGAATTGTAAGGTCACGTTCACACAAGGGTTTCGAAACGATATTGAGAGAGAGAGAGAATGCGGTCAAGGTCAACTGAGGTCTACGCGAGTGGCGAGAATCGGGCGGGGTAACATTCTGATACAAATGATAATTATGCACAACTTACAGGGAGGAGATAGATGGTCGGAAGAAAAATATTTCAGACAGGAACTGTGTAAGTTAAATAACATTACGAAGCAAATTTTGTAATTATTCACTTTCAAATTTTAATCAGGGGTATTACAAGTTTAATGAGGCATATTGGTAGCTCAGCAGTAAATCAGACCTAAGGGAGCGGGGTAAATTACAAGGCGGAAATAAATTTCGGTAACATTTAGGGGTGTTGTGATTCCTGAAGGTGGTGCTGGTCGATGGTAATCGCTTGTTGAAGAATACAGATGGGAAGTCAGTAAACTGGCATGCATAACACAAAAACCTTAGCAGAAACGTACAATTGCAGTTCCTGTCCATAGGACGGATNAATCAATAGTTATTATTTGAGACCCAACAAATTGCCCTCGGTGATCTGGCTGATTTTTAATCGTTGAAATAAATCGCTACTCACTTGTGAGTGGTATATCACAACAGGTGTGCAAGTGAATTTTGCAGACATGCGTATTCGCTAAACACTTCTAAGAAATCAGACTTAACCATAGTTGTGTATCGATAACGCCATTTTTGTTGATGGTGATTATGAATCAGATGACTATGATAAGTAGGGTGATAACGTTTGTTGTTGTTATTGTTGTTGTGGTGATGATGATGATGGTCATGATGTTGATAAGAAGGATGAGGGTGATAAGTAGTATGGCCAACGCAATACAATAGCTTTTCATTCAACTGAGGCAGTAGAACACATCCCGCTACAATATTTTACACAACCTGAGATCTGAGAAATATGTTCTTAATTTGTTCAAATAGATTCCAAGCATCAAGAAACTCATCAAACTGTTGCGTGCATTCCCAGTGAACTACGTCAAAAGAATCATGCTTCCAAGTTTGCAATTTCAACAAATATTTTGAAAATCAAGATTTTTAGTTTGCAAGAATACGGATGAAACGAGTTTTTCGACTGGATTTAAGATACCAGAAATATATCTCCGAAGTTCTCAATGTGGTCGGGGTGGGTGTCTAGGGTTGCGGCTGGTCACCCTTCCCTCGCATCTCGCGAAATGCTCCCCTTCGAACAAGCATCTCAAACAGTTTTTGCTGGGGAAGTCTTACTCACTGCTATTTCGTGGTGGAGGTATTTTTTCCACCAAAGTGAGAGGACGAAAAGCCGAAATCCGGAGCTATAAGTTGGTGGACCACTTGCAGTTCACCTAGGGGAGTTGGCCAAAATCTCTGATTCCAAAGCAACCAAAACGAGGTGTACGAACCACACTCACACATTTCCGGTTGTAGTGGTTGTAGTCACCGGCTCAATTCGATATCAATGGAGCACCTTGGACATTTGACCCCGCCCGAAGGGTTCATGATTCGATGAACTGGACACCGGCTCCCAATGGACTGCGGTTTTCGTACACCGGAAAGCTGCAATCTGGTTAAGGCCCTGACGAGCCGCATGATCTGGATGCTACTTCACCAAGAAAATTCACCTGCCTTGGCTTGGACAACCTGGAAGTAGTCCGACCACATGCAAATCGTGGAATGTTTTTATTTTTAGAAAGATTATTGTACCCGAGATTTGTTTGACACAGTCTGAGCTCAGAAGTGTGATATATTTATATATACCAGAAATATTGCAAAAATGTGGATATTCCCCATCATAGATAGACCTTCAGAAACTGCGTGCATTAATCCCAACTTGGACTAACTGTCAAATGAATGGTGTCAGCTATGAGAATCATTGATAAAAGTGGAGATATATTTTTTTAAGGAAATATTTCAAAAAGAAAGAAAGGATATTTCACGGGTTTGCACGTCTTTCAGCTAGACTTATTTTATTGGTCAGAAGGAAATGCAGTTTCAAGACTTTTCTTTAGGGTTTGTAATCGGCGATATTTACTCATAAAATAAGCATTTGCGTTTGTGAATTCTACTGGAAAGGGTATTGTGACCTGTGTGGAATTGTGTACCTTAGACAAAATGACCTATGGAACTTCGCATTAAATGACGTCTATGTTCTTCCGATGTATTTTCTGACTCGTGTATTTAGTTAGTTAAAAGTCATTTGTTCAACAACGATAACCGCTTTCGCCATAGGAAATACTGGGAATTTTGCAATAAATTGCACATATCGTTTCAATACCGATTTGATGAACAAACCTAATTCTTTTATTTAGTCTAATCAAATTAAAGTTAGTGGTGTGACACAGAGCAGGACGCTACAACTGCGTGATGGAAGCTACTGCCGTGGTCACCATGAATTTCATTAAAGGGGGTAAGTTGAAAGAGAATACCTGTGTCCGTACTGGCAGACCGGGTTCCGAGCTCCGTTTGATCACGTTGTAACCGCGAAAACATCACTTGATCTCTCTCGGTCATTGTGGTGTGACTCGGGGCAATGAGCTTTTCTCATTACATCCGGTGTTAATCAAAAATTTATGAGCAAATACAAACTGAACTCCACCGACTAATCTCAACTTGCCAAATCACAAAGTACGTTCCGCGTTCATAAAAATAAGGTCATTGGATCCGGTCACCAGTTTCACAAATGGGGAAAATGATTTGTGCTTGAACTTTGAAAGTTTTCGGCAAGGAACAACAACAACAACAATTCAGCAGCCTTAAAATCCGTGCATTTGTACATTGAGCTTTACTCTCAACAAGAGATTAGGCACTATCAGGCATTATTTGAGGAACATCCAAGTCAATCGATAAACTGATTCACGAGTTGATGCGTATACCGTTTCATAACATCTGGTCTCTTGCATTGAGTAAATCGGGAATAAATTATAAGATCAGCAGTAGCGATATAATCATGTTCGGGTTATTTTATATCATAAAATCATCCCCATCACCTTTTTGAGGCATGTCTAACGAAAACTACATCAGAAGAGAATGCTTTTTATTCAAATAGATAAACATTACAGACATCTCAAACATTTTCGCTTGAAATAGACCAAACAGTGTCATTCATTGAAGTCGATTTGATTAGATAAACAGTAAAATGAAATTTTAATCATTTTGAACATATGGTATCAATTAAATCAAATTGGTTTCAATCATATGCCGTTATGATAAAAGCCAGACGCCACATTAGTTCCTCGAATAAAAAGGGTCTCGATTTTTTTATCTACCTCCTTTTAGTCCTTCTCATCAAATACATCAGTGTCCAGTCCCTTTCTGGGTTCAAAACATCACTCAAAGAAAAGGCTGCTATGTTGTACCAAATTAAAGGATAAATTAAACCCTTTGTCACGGCTTGACAACCACAGCCCCACATTCCTCTCTTTTTCTACACAATTTACCCAGAATTTACTTTACAATGTAGCACCTTTCGTATTGCACACGCTGGTATGATGGGCAACAGACGGAAGTGGACCCCTTAGTTACTAGGACGTGCTGCTGTCCACCACATCTTCCTAACCGCGCAGCAGATATAAAATGTCAGGAGGATACGCACTCTTCTATGCGAATAAAACAGAACAATAGATACGACCCCACACATCAATTCCAGGTCTATTTACCATGATTCAAGTTAAGTGCATTGCTTTGAACAAATCGGTTGCTGTCCACGGAGCTGTTACTCCGGCAGCATATCCAATTTAGCTCGATAGAGGTTTTATACTTATGAATATTATCATAGGATTTACCTCTTTTCGGGTAGATCGGAACAAAACTATGAATTATTGACTACCTTGCAAGGATTGTAAATTATTCTATTTACTGTAGGAGCATTCAGAGTTTAAAGGAGAAGGATGATTGTTTCCGATATTGTGCCAATTCATATTTCCAACAACAGGGTAATTAGTAAAACAGTAGGGGAATTATTTTCAGAGTCCACATGATTCTCCGATTTCGAACCCGATTTCTTTGGCAAATACGAGGCTTGATTTTCTATTGCTCGGTACATACGCGAATAAAGCTCGCTATACAGAAAACGCGGTATCAGCGTATGAAGAAATTTTAAACATGCAAATCCATTTATCAAATAAACCGATGCAATTGTCTTCTCAGTTTATTCCGAACACTGAAAGAATCCAAGTGATAGTTTTACC